ACATTGGAATAATAATAAATCTGTTCCTCTGAATACCTCAGACAATAGCCGAGCCCTGGCCTTTACAGAGTTGCAGACATGGGCCTTGAGTGTGCCGAGAGCCCTCTATTTTTAATTGGTGTCCAACACGCTATTGTTAAGGCGCAAAAGATAGAGGGAAGAGTAGAGGGGGAGAAAACACCCGTGTGCATCACTAGCATATTAGCTCAGCGCTAACACAGTGTCATTATAATTTGCTCTTAGTCTCACTGGCTAATTAGCTTGTCATGGTGCAGCAGGTCCTGCCGAGTATGTGGTCATTAGACTATAAGAGCAGAGAAATGAATGGCAATCAGTGTTCTCCTGTCATCTTCTCCTCTCCTGTTAGACGATGACAGCGGCAGCACAATGCGCTGTCGCTTGAAATAATATATTTTTATGTTTTGTGGTGGTCAATAATGAGGACAAGAAAGCCCCCTTGTTGTGTTCGAGCTCACTGATCCAAAGCAGGACGGTTTGAAGGCCGCAGCTTGGTGACAGGAGTGTCATTGCAACAGTTTTGCAACCCGCCTGGCAGCGAGGAAGAAATGTTGTAATATTTACATGTATTGCAATCAAATGCATTTTAATATTAACAGCCTCTGAGCTTTATTAAACTAGAAGTGACTACTTACTTAGGGTACCTATTGTACTATTAATAATTCACCAACGCAGTAGTAAAAAAAATGTACAAAAGCTGCTTGAGGGATATGATATTTTCATCTTTAATTACCAACAAAGAGCGGTGCTGTGCATGAATCTCCTCTGCAACACTGTCACAACATGGCCGCTTTGCAATGAAAAGTAAACAGCCTGTTTTAATCATAGGAAGAATGCCTAGTGCCAGCACCTTTTGTCTTTGTAACATGAGCTACAACTGAACTATTCATCACCTGATTATTAGTGCTGGTTCACATCACACCAAGGGTTGCTGATGCCTCAAAGGGAAAAAAACAAAAGTGTTCTGGGCACCTGAGCAGATGGCGGAAAGTTATTAAAGAGACCTTGCAGCCCTCATATCAAAGCACCTGATTGAGGTTGGACAAACGAGTGTCTCAAAGTCGACTCATCTCCTGCCCTTCTGCTTGTACCTTACACAACTTCCTGCAAAGCCTCAGAAATAATTAGCGCCTCAACACTTGAGTCAGAGACAAACTGAAAGTGAATAATAGATTAAAAAGCTCTGGGAGAACAACAGTGCTCAGTTCACAACAGTGGATCATAACGGAGTGATCATGCTGTGCAGGGCGATCTATACCACAGGACAGCCACAAGCATAATGTACTAGTCAGTGGAGGTTAGAGTAAATAAAAATAGTACTCAATTAAAGGTAGTGCTTCTTTAGAATTGTATTGACTCAAGTTAAGTACAAATAACTTATTGAGTAAGAGCTCGTAAAGAAGTAGTGAGTAGCTTTATGACCTGGAGCTTGGTCTGGATGTTGGGTCATGTGCATGAGCCTCATCTGAAGGAGACATCTTCTGCCATGATCTTGAACTGTAGTCTTTTGATGGGGTTTCTGGAGGTGGTACGGCCACATTTCCATTATATCTAGGATGCTATGATTGGCTGAACGGCTTATCTTATCTCTCGCTGTCTGAAAATCACTGTCATGCGTTTGAGCTCAGCTGAATATAAAAGTGATTTATAGCTAAATGTGGTGTAGCCCAATGTAAGGGTGTAGGAGTACATATCTTTTATTTCATATCATCTCAAATGTAGCCTCAAATCAACTACCCAGAAGTACAATTTTATATTAAAAAATATATATATACTTTACTACATGCAAAGAGTAAATGTAACTACTGGCATCTGTAATGCTGCGTTCACACCGGACACGATGCGATGTTTGGGGGGCGGCGCGATTACATGTCAAGTCAATGCAGAGACGCGGACAGACGCGAATTCGCTCTGACGGCGAGCATGAAGCGGTTGATGCGAATGTCGCGGCGCGATTGGAGGGGGCCGCGACAACCGCTCGAGTTCATTTTTTTCAACTCGAGCGTCAAATTCCCGTGACGCGATCTCGTGGTAGCCAATCAGCGGTGAGGATCTCAGCCTGCCATCACTGACGTAGAACCACAAAACCAAAACATCAGCCGTTAGCTGTTAGCACACAGAGCTCAAAGCTCCTCATATCTGTTCAGAAACTGGACAAAAGTTAAACAAGTACAAACCACAGACTGTCTGTGCCATGGCGAATACAGTCGCTGGTTTATTTATGTCTGTAGGCCGTTGTTATGAGTGTGGACGGAGCATATACAACGTTAGCTTAGCCTGGTCGATCCGATCTTCATTCAGAAAACAAGCATTTTAAAAGGTTTTTCGCCTGCCGTCTTGTCTGCAGACTTGTCAAAGCATTAATTCATGGTTTTTACTAACCGGTATCAGTATGTTGTTACTTCGGCATCATTTAGAAACGTGTATTATAATTAAATCACGGCAAAAATATGTTCATTTTGTTGTTGTAGTTGTAGCCCCAAGCATGGAATGTTGGAACCGCTCAGTTGTCATGGCAGTAGTTTTGTAGTTCCAGTGTTCCATGCTTGAGTCATGTGATGGCACTGAGCTATCTCCATGACAACAAAAAGACAATGAGATTTAATTGAAAGTGTTGGGGATTTAGAAGACTTTATCTATCCTGGGGGAAATCAGGTTTCATGCTGCGTCATTTGAGAGAAAAATAATAAAAAATAATAAAATAAATAACACAAATATTTAGTAAAGAAAATTATTAAAAGATTTAAAATAATTGAATACAAAAATGTATGTAAAGTATAAACATAAGAAATGAAAGGGAAAAGGAGCACACTGATACACTAAACATATATATTGTATATACAGTAGTACATTAGTTCTTGAATGCATTTTATAATAACTTCATAATTAATTTTGGACACATTTCTTATTGTTCAATAAGAAATGATCTAAGCCTTACCCATAAAAGGTTGAACACACGTTATCGCTCACATAATCTGTATTCCATTTCTACATGATACAATAATGCACACTTAGGATGCACAGGTTCACCTGCAGTATCATATCGTTTCTCTGGTTTGCGGTCATGCTTTTACTTCCGTTTCAATGATGTGAGTAGAGATCTTCTTGTGTATGCCCCCCATATGATGCGATCGAAAACACATTAAGATCCTTTTAAACAACAACTTGCTACCACCTGACAAAAAAAAGCCGCGGAGGCTGACTCGGTGTCATCACAACTCACTGCTCCTCCTCCTCCTCTGCTCCCTCTCCTCCTGTTTCATTGTGTAAACATGACAGAACCCCCACTCGTTATCTGAAGCTGGAGACAGATGGAATTGGTGAGCGTTACAAGTGCAGCACAACAAGACAAGTGGGCAAGCTCGAGTCATTGAAGGAACAAATGGGGTTTTGTGAGAGGCTGTTTGGTTGGCACACTGGGGGACCAAGCCTGCTGATTTAGTCAACGTAATTCACCCTTTTTAACACCATATCTGAGTGAATCACCAGATGTTAAATTTAATGAAGAAGATTCGCATCCACCACCGTTCTGCTCTGCCTCCCATGCAGGGGAGCAGAGCTATTTGCTAACAGGTTGTTTGTCTCACCTCTAAGCAAAATGTGCCTTCCAGTCATTACCACACTTTCCAAAAAAACTCAAAAAAAGGAAGTAGAAACTGAATCTTTTTGGCCACGTCTCAAATGCTGTTACGATTTGTGCCATCTCATTAGCGAGCCAAGCTAAATAGCATGATGACAAATAGAATGTGTTCTGCATCTCCTTGAAAGCTTGCCAATATAATAATTCTCACTTGTGTTTTATTGGCAAGAAGGGAGAGAATTAGATTAACCTTTAATATTGAACCGAAGCGATAAAATCCAAATGGGGCTGGCTTGGCAAATAGATTTAAACTTATTGATTTCTCATCATTTCCCTTCTCTCAGTCATTGAGGGGAAAAAAACACCCCTCATAAAATACCCTGCATTTTTACGATAAGTCGCTTTTCGGTCTTTGTATTTAGATAAATGATGGAAAAATTAAATTAGAGGTTCTATCAATCCAAGCGTAAGAGCATTTTCTCATTAAGGGGCACCTGCTTGAATCCCCAGCGCTAATAGAAAATGTCTCAGCACTGTCATTTACCTTCTTTCTGCATATTTGTTATGATATTACATCCTTTTATTTAGTTAATGTTAAACCCAAGGACCCGATTGCTTTGAATAAACAGATTTTTGTCCTGGACATCTTTCTGTTATGTAAAATTACCACCTGCTTCAAAACACCAACCGATCCAAGTAATGTTGCCAAGGATTAAACAGAACTGTACCACTTTAGTTTTTGGCATCTTTATTTAAAGATACATTACATGAATTTCTTATTTTTCTTCCACCTCCTGGTTGACAATTTGGAACTCACAAGCACCTGTAATACACCGATATTACTCAGTTTACCCACCCATATTACACTGTTATTAAACCCATGTTACACCCATGTTACACCATTATTACACCCATATTATACCAATGTAATGTTATACTGTTATTAGACTCATATTACACCCATATTACACCCATATAACACCCATATAATATCAATGTTACACTCATATTACACCCATATTACACCGTCATTACACTGGTATTACACCCATTTTACACACAGACACAGACTGTCAAGTGTCTGTATCCCCCAGGTTACAAAAACCATTAAAGGTCTAAGATTATCAACATAAACACAGAATGATCTTTTCTGAAACTCAGTGGTTGTAACATGAAATGCAGGTGCTTCAAGGCTTTTCAATCCCGGTAATGATATACTATATCATCAATATCACGACTAATTACATTTCTTAATCGTAATAATTAGTTCTTTTAAAAAAATGATTTTCCCATACTTTCATCGCTAGGTAAATGGGCAGTTGTAAATAGGACTATTGCAGGACTTTTTTCTACGTCTATTTTTAAACTGCTTGTTGCTTAAATTGCCTTGTCCGTGTTGCAGGTTCGGCCTTCATGATGATGAATACGTCGGGACGCTTCGCAGGGCAGAAGGCTCTGCTGCTGACACCCCAGCTGAGAGAGAATGACACCCACTGCGTTACCTTCCACTACTACATAGGAGGCAGAGACAACAGCCACCCAGGACACCTGAACGTCTACATCAAGGAGAACAACAGTCCCATGGGGATGCCGGTGTGGAACGTGTCCGGCTCGGCCACCCGCACCTGGGGACAGGTGGAGCTGGCCGTCAGCACCTACTGGCCCAACTTCTACCAGGTGAGGAAACCCAGAGTGATCCCACATTCTTCTCTTTGCATAATGTGTCATCACAAAACTAGGTTGCTCATTGTAAGCAGCCCTTTATTACCAAGCCAAAGTCATTAAAGCCTGCCTCGCGGGGTGGAGCAAGAAAAATGTATTATTTGAGAAGGTCCAAACAATTGCACAATGGCCTATTCAAAACACCTAAGATTATTGATTTCTGGGGCTACCGCTGTATCCATGGTAATCTGTTCTCTCTCCCTGCCATCTGAGCCTGTTCTCTTTTTCCAATTCTGAAAACTCATTTTCACTTCCCAATGCACATGACTGCTGGTAGGGGCAAGGTGATTTCACACTTGCCTGGCTATTAGTCTTCGCTGGGGCTTGTTCCACGAGTCCACCAAATGTTAATTGATGCAGAGAGACCCCTTAACCTCCCAATGGGAGATGTTCCCTTGGTGAATTATTTCATTATGGCCTGAGCTGGGCGACAGTGGAGCTGAGGGGAGTTCTCCTGCTTGCTCATCATAGCCAACCCTGATAACTTGGTTAACAAGGTACACCGCTGAGCTTTCTCACTGCTGAATGCAAGATAGGAGCCTTAATGAGAGGCACATGGACAAAAGAAAGAGAGAAGAGGGGGAAGGCAACAGGATTTTGACCCTTGCCTGACATAATGATGCAAAGCTTATCTGGATAAAATGTTTTTTTCAGATTTATCCTGTGCAGACCTCGGTGGCTAAAGCAACATGCACAAGTCCAAGCTCTAGCCATCACTGAAACCATTAAAAAAATAGGGAAATTAATCTTTTCTTTATATTTTTAATTTGTTTATACAGTATAACACTTTGACCGTAACTTTGCCCAAACCAAGCAAGCTACACCTTTTAAACAGTGTTCTGCTTTTGAAATCCATGTTAAGTTTAGTGACGCTTGAATATTTGACATGTTGTTCACAGTGGGTTTCTGCAGAGTTCTGTACATGGGTTGAGCATCTCAGCCCGAAATGATTTGTAATGTTTCCCAGTGTGCTCAGGGAAATTTCCCCAGTGGAAGGTCCGTCTCGGTTTGTAATTGTTCCAGACCCAAAGTGACAACATTGGTAAATGTGAGGATGCTAATGATATTAGCGCCACTCTCAGTAGAGAAAAGAGAGACCAATGCTTGAAATTGTCACTAATTAACAACATGGCACTAATTATAGGTATCTTTAATTGCACGGTAACCTACGCTATCGTCAAAGGGAAGCCACCTGATACTGGGAAATTATTTTTTAATTACCGGTAAGTATTTTAGTCGTCATGAGCCCCTCAGCCTTTCATAATTACTCTTCTGTCAGGTCATCCCTAAAACTTTTAATTGAGATTGTCATGCATTTCCAAAGCTGCTGAACACTGGCAAAAACTTTAACTTTTAATAAATGAAATGTGTCTAAATAGGGTCTGCACATCGCTCAAAAATAAGTACTATGTGCACAAGATGAACACCCAATATTAATCCTGATGAGAGAGAAAAACTCAAATGTCCTCATCCGTCTTGATTTCAATACAGTAGAGCCATTGGCAGAGCTAATCAATCCTGCTGTAATGTAGTACTTAGCCAAGTCCCTCAGGGATAGCCAGAGCGGTGATGTAGACATTCAATGTGGGGTCACCACGTGTCTCGCTGGCAAATGAGAACAGTGAACTTTCCCGTGACACCAACAGCTTTCGTCCCATGTGAATATTTTTCAGTCTGTGGGTCAGGCCCAATTATGCACTGCACTATCATTGATGTTAGAATCAATTATATCACAGCTATTAGGCAAGTTGACTGATGTCTGTTGCACAAACAAAGGATTTCAATTAGAGAGTGGGGGCTAGTTCATTTGTCTGGTGGTGATATATGGAGTGGTTGGCCTTTTAATTTCCTTTAAATTAGCCTGTAATGAGGCCATAATTGGCACCCAAGACATTCACTTTCATATTTCATGAGACAAAAAAAGAAATGTATAATTAGACACCCTTATCTGAAGGCATCCTGCCTCCCTGATGACAATGGTAACTATCTCCTCCTCCACATTCCCCGGCTACAAAAGGAATCTCAGAGATGTAAGTGTGTGCAGCCTAGCTACGGCTAGCAGAACATCTGTGTCTGTGTGAGACCATATACAGAACATTTCCATTAATATATACCGTTCACTGGGAGATATAGGCGTATATTTAGTGAGTTATGGCATGCGAAACATGTGTAGTGTGTGGCGTAATGGGTCTGTACCACACCCTGGGTTTGGGAAGGGACTGGCATTCTTCTTCCTTTTTTGACACAGTGCAGACCAGCGAGTACATAACTCTGACATTCTGCTGGGACACGCCCTCTGACGGGGCTTACGACCATTTGTTTTGCAGCAAATGTTGGCCCTTAAAATAGACTCATGGTAGTCCTACTTGGCACAGTTGTAGTTGATTTCAGATTTCTGTTGTCAGAGATAGCAACAAACATGTCAGACACGTAACACTAGACACAGAGCAACTGTTGAATGCAACAAGCATACGTTCACATATGTTCACACTTAAATCTAGTGGCATCCGTGCATGGAAAGATATATTTTTATTTTTATATTTTTGGTTTGAGGCGTTTTCCTTTGAGATTTATATGCTAGTCAACAGGTTTTTTTTAGAGCCTATTTAAAAAGTAGTGCTTAAAATACTGTGAACAATACAAAAAAATGTTTAGGTAATAACCAAGAGTCACTTGCACCAGTTGTATAAGTTAAAATGTTGCCTAGTTGTAATTTATTTTGCTAATAAGATATTTAAAATGAAAACCAGCAGCACCACACAGTATATTCCTCTGTGTAGTGTTTGTAATTGTTTACCGTTAAGTGAAAAACTGAGTTAGCTAACTTAAGCTTGACCATTAATTACGTTATAACTTAACTATTTTATTTGGATCACAGCTTGTAATGCAGCATTGACTTCCTGTTTGCAAATGTAATTGCTTTGGATTTGACATCACTGCAGAACAACAAACAGGTTTACAGATTATGCTTCAGTCTCTTTAGAACTAGCTATTAAGTTTAAAGAACGTTTAAGGGACTTGCAGATAAACCTAAAGAAGGGTATAAGAATGGGAATGTTCATGTCATACAATGCACAAGTAAAATCCCATTCACCTGCATTGTTTTGGGGTAAAAGCACCTGAATAACTGATTAGTGAATGATATCTCAACCGTGTCTCTCCCCACTATGTGTTTGTCACCGACTGTGTGCTAAACGTCTCAGGGCTCAAACTTAATTTAACACTTGCATGTCATCGCACCTTTCAACTGTGACATATTGTGGAAATAACGTCAGTGGCCCGCAGCTGTGTGACCAGCTGCGGCCCAGCTAAGAGCAGATCGCATTAGCAGGAGCTGGACTTCCCTTTGCACACGGGCAGCCTCACTCAAGTGCCATTTGAAGACATCTGCCCATTTATCATTGGTGTTATGAGTGTCCTCTCTCCTCCTCAGATTGTGTTTGAAGCCGTAACCTCAGGGCAGCGTGGCTTGCTGGCCATCAAAGACGTCGTGGTCCAGGGCCACCAGTGCAGTAAGTCCTTTTTTCCCTTCGCCATAAAAGAATATCATCAAACATTCATTGTCCTTTCCATGACACCCTCCCAAATACCTGTATCGCTGTTTATATTCAAGGCCTCCCAGTCAAACAAAGGGCCTTCAAACAGTATGCTACAGTCAATCCAAAGTGTAAACCTCCCTCCTCATAGCCCCATGAAGATTTATGAGCATACAGACGACATGCTGAAGTGTGCTCAGGATATAATGTTGGAGTGGCTGTGTTAAATCTATCCTTCGAGAGATGGGAGAAATAGCGTAAAAAGGGATGAAAAAACAAATACACTTGCTGCTGCTTGTGTTTGGATTCCACCATTTTTCTCCTCCCTCAAGGATATTCAGTGCAGCGTCTCCTCTTTCAGATGTTCAGAGTTCTGCTTCCCTCGCTGAATATACTTTAGAGTGCGCTGCGGAGCTAATGAACATGTAATCAGTCGCATATTTAGATTTTTTCCGCTTCAGCTTTTGGGATAGGCTGCTGCTGTTAGAAAACAAGGAAAAGGGATCTTCAGGATATGCTTTTGAGTACCTTGAGAGTCATGCTACTCCATATGGCTCTTCTTAATCTTATACAAAGAGATTTTCACACTCTACAGTCTAAGTCTAAATCAATACCACACGGGTTTTCATTAATTGATTTATACTTTACCCCTCATAGCCAAAGTATCAAGCTCTGATTGTGAGGCGCTAATGACCTGGTAACCATTAGAAAGCAGCTGAATTCCTACAAATGTTATGTCAATAAAATGGATTTATATAGCGATAGGTGTTGCATATGAATGTATTTGAGTAAATCAATGAGGCCTTGCGACATGATCAATGTTTAAATGTGTGAAAGTGTGTTTGGGTCAATAACCCGCTCAGTGGCAATAGGGTTTATTTGACTGATAAGCAAAGTGATCAGAGAGACTCGTCGGTGGAGCGCAGCCAATTCATTTTCTATTTATACGACCATGTGGAATATCTAGCACAAAGGTGTGATTATGCCACTGGGTGGTCTGCCTCTTCTTTGCATCATTAAAGAAGACATTAGCGATGAGAAAAATAGATTTGTCTCTTTTGGCACTGGATGGATTGACAGGACAAAGTTATAAAGGAGGTGTAGTTCAAAGACGGGATTGTAAAATATTAAGTAGAAATGAAAGTCTTGATGATGAAAGTGATAGAATTAGCTTTTGCCAAGTCTTTAGAGATTTGGTTATGTTTTGAATCAAGGTCGCTCCATTGAATTGCCCTATTTTTCTATGCAGAATAGCGGTGCTAATCAAAAATGTTCTACATAAGTTACTTTCTATGCACTATCCCAGTCAGTGTGCATACTGATAATGAGCACAGTCTGAGAAGAGAATAATGCTTTGGGAAAAAAAATACCCTCAATCTATGAAAGGATGCATTTTAAAGGCAGTGTTTTTGATCGGTGCACGATCTGTGTCTCATTTCAAGGATTTTGGTGGAAATCTTCCGCACAAAGCGATGTTGCCCTCCGGCGCTGACGGGTATCAGAAAGTATAATAAAGAGCAATATCCATTCAAACATTTAGCATAAAAAATCTTGGCACAAACAAAGTGGGTAACGCTTTCGACACAGGAGCATGGACCTTGATGCAGACCACATTTTTAGTGATTAAATCTCACAAATATTTGATGGAGAAGCAATGCTGCAACTCAGCATTCACTCTTAAATGACTTTTCTGCAGCTGTCTGATCAATATTTGCATTTTTTCTCCCAGTGAACACACCTCACTTCCTGACCATAAAGGGAGTGGAGGTCAACGCTGGACAGACGGCATCTTTTCACTGCACTGTCAATGGACGCAAAAGGGACAATTTCCGCCTCTGGCTTCAGGTGAGATCCATTTTCATGCTTTAACTTACACTCTAAATCTAAGACTAAATCAGAGGGTGGGATCAGTATTATAAGTGTGCCCTCTGGAAACGAACGTGCCTCACTGAACAGACCCTACTGTCTGAATATGTAATCGTATGATCCTCAGTGCTGTTGTCGAAGAAGGCTGCAGGCTTATTTCCACTGTAAATGGGGATATTAGAAATGTAGCATATGCTATTTAATTTAGCAAGCTCTCAAATAAGGATTTGTAATAATTTGATGGCTTGATGGGATGGGCTTTGTGTTTCCAGAGTATTGAGTTAGCTATTTTCTTACAATGTTCAACTGTCTGTGTTGAGTGTTTAGCAACAATGGGTAAATCAAAGTTTCCCAACAGCTGGGTTATTGTCAGGGCAAAATCAGTGTCGTCTTAAACTTGCATCTGAAAAAGTACATTTGATTTGAAAAATGTGTAGGAACCCTGATAAGTTCAAGATCTGATTTAAGGGGAAAATATCGTTACTGGAAAACTAAAATGAATGCCGACGCTAACAACTCATAACACTGTAGAGATAATTGCACTAGTTCAACAACTCAAAGTGTATGGATCACATGGTTGGGTAAAAGAAGAGGGTAGCATAAGAATGAGGCAAGAGCTATTTTGTTATTTATAACATGTTTAACCCTAATTACATATAGCCAAATGTAAACCAGTTGCACCACAACCATAGACAGTACATCTTCCTGATTGGCTGACAACTGTCTGTTTAAATTGCAGTTACCTCAAACATACTTCTGGTTAGCAGTTTCACCACAGCTCTAAATGATAAAGGATATGAGGAAACAACTGACAAGGTGGCAGTGAAGAAGAGGTGCCATGGGACACTTAATCGTGTACAATGGACAAAGTATAGCAATTCTACAAATAACAATACTCACTTTTAAAAGTTGCTTTGAGGAAAAACAAGTGGCTTTTTTAGTCAAATCATAAGACAAATCCGACATTGCTTTATATTGCCCTTGTGTTTTCACCTGTTCCCAGATTTCCAGAGGCCTCTGTGTCTGGGGGGAAGGGGATTACAGTTGTTTTAGATCACCGCAGTATGGTCTTAACCTATATAGATGTTGGCTCTGTGGAAACCGTGTACTATATCCGGCAAAACTGAGCTGCACAGCAGTCTTGAATTGACCTTGTTCTGAGCAGCAAAGGTAGTGCATCTGGCAGACATAACCCCGCCGGCACTGCTGCTAAGCACACTGTCACACATGTGATCAGTGGGAGCATGACGCTGGGTAAAGGTCCTCTGCCAGGTACTCCATCATTTTAACAAACACGTCCTCATTAGCACAGGAGCTGGAAAACAAACATTAAGTGAAGTCCCCCGATGACAGTAATGAAGAAATATTTCTAATGAACAAATGTCCCCCATCTGCCTGCTGTGAGGGGTGACAGCTGGGGAGAGGTGGTGTGTGTGTGTGTGTGTGTGTGTGTGTGTGTGTGTGTGTGTGTGTGTGTGTGTGTGTGTGTGTGTGTGTGTGTGTGTGTGTGTGTGTGTGTGTGTGTGTGTGTGTGTGTGTGTGTGTGTGGTGTGTGTGTGTGTGTGTGTGTGTGTGTGTGTGTGTGTGTGTGTGTGTGTGTGGTGTGTGTGTGTGTGTGTGTGTGTGTGTGTGTGTGTGTGTGTGTGTGTGTGTGTGTGTGTGTGTGTGTGTGTGTGTGTGTGTGTGTGTGTGTGTGTGTGTGTGTGTGTGTGTGTGTGTGTGTGTGTGTGTGTGTGTGTGTGTGTGTGTGTGTGTGTGTGTGGCACAGGAACAGACAACTCAACCAGAGTTTCTGAAACACACAAGGTCAGGCCACTTTGCTTATTAAACCTTTCCATTTTGTGGGCTCACTTTTGTCTTTGTCTCGGTTCCAAACAGGGCATCGGTGGACGGGAGGCTCCGATGAAAGCCACAAAACCTTGGAACAACCGGCGCTTCATTGGCACTTTTGATGTAGAGAACACAACCAAGGGTGACTCGGGCCGCTACCGCTGCATCGTCCACTCAGACAAAGGGGTTGGAGTGTCCAATTATGGCGAACTAACCATAAAACGTGAGTATTGGTCCCAGAGCAGAGAGAAAACAAAAACAAAGCCTATCTGAACCAACTCGGCACAGACAGCATGAATGCTTTTCCATCCACATGACCTCTACACACACAGCAAAGTCAACAGGAGATAAACAGGAAGTGCTCTGTGTTCGTCCTCTAAGGCGATACTAAAAAAAATACACGCTTTTTATGTTGATTTGTTATTTAGAGGACTTTAATACTTACCCTGTAAAGGCTGTCCTTGACTGAGCACAATTCCACCTAAAAGATCACAACGGGTTTACAGTAACCTCTCTGATATTTCACTCCTGCAGTCATTTGATATGAATTTATGGAGTCGTCTGAAACTAAATCCAGCAAGGCCTCACTTTCCTATAGCCCGGTAATGGCCTTCTATATTTCTTCACCTCAATTTTCTCCCTGTGCTTTCAATTGAATTTACTGCCCCGATTTTTTTCCATTCTTTTTTTTTTTTTTGTCTCCAAGCTTTCTGTGATTGATAGGTTTAATCCTGGCTGTCCAGATCGAGGTCTGTCAATCATGTGAGAATGGCCGGGCCCAGACAGAGCAGAGTGAAGAGGGAGATAAAGTCTCTCTGCCTGAGTGTATCAGTGGGTTTCAGTGGTGTACTCAAAGAAAATTTACTGACACACTGGAGGCACTCAAAACCACACTCGTGCATAAATTCAGCAACACAATCACTCGCACTTGCACATACTCGCCAGACGGCAATGTTTTTGCTGATCGCTGCTTTCAACGTGTTACTGCATTTATTTGTATAAAATACAAACCAGTAAAGTGTAGAGAGCCTTTGTCATAAATATTTAAAATATTTCTCTAGATTCAAGGATTCATCAAATCTTTTAATGCATCTCGTTTTAAGTTCGGCGGAGATGTCACACCTCGATGACTCCGGCATAAGCCAACTCGTCGCAGCAAGAAAAAAGAGGCGTTTTCACGGTTATAAGTGTCACACATAAAAAAAAAAAGGCTGATATGTCCTCTTATCGTACCAGTCATAAAACAAGTGCTTAACACTCCCAGCAATGTGTCTGAGTCGTAAATCCTCCTTAAATGTGTATTCACCGCTTCCGTGCCTCGTTTTTAGAAGAGTGACCGCGGAGTGGTTCTGTGGATTATGAGCCGGCTGCAGTCACACAGCGGCTCGTTCCCCCCCCCCCCCCCTCATTACCATACACTGCCTTTTTCTTCAACATGCGGAGAGTGAATGCTTGATTATCCCAGATAATCACTTCTGCCTTTCATGCCAGTATTCAGTCAGATTTATGCGCCCGTGTTGAAGTGCGCTGCATGTATTTCCTGAGCGCCATACGGATTGGGCCAGTGCAGCCCCCTTATCCCATGCCCCCCCCCCCTTGTGATGGGCTCTCCTGTAGTGCAGCCAGTGGTTCTGAAAGGGCGATAATTACTCTCTGTCCAAGAGCTGGCTCCTTTCTTGGCCTGGTTAGAATCACCTGGAGCCCGCAAAGCTTTTCGCTGTGCTCCAACACAGTATTCTGGGCTGTGCTCCTAACTCAAGGCTGACGAGGTGCGGCCGTGTCAGCACTAATGAGAATAGCCACCAAGAAATCGAAGGCCGACCAGTCAAGCTTGTCATTTTCCTGGTACCACCTCTGCTCTTTCCTATCAGGACAGGATCAATTCCTACAACAACGTAATGAGGACCTCTTGCATCTCAGCAAGAGCGGCTCAGTGGGAGTAATGAGCAAATGAAAGAAGGATTCATAAAAATGCAGGTCCAACCAATCTAACAACACAGCAGAGGGGCTGTTCTTATTATTGCCTTCTGTGTGGAGGATGGGAAATGGGTGGCCATTTACCAAAGTCTTATAATGCTGGAAGGATAAGTTGATTATTTAACATATTAAGGAAAATTGCCAATGACTTACTTGCATCATCTTATAAAATAGGAGGATTCTCTGTCTAATATTATTGTCAATTTAACATATTTGGGTTTTAGACTGTACAGTAGGTTAACGAAACAAGCAAAGTCAAGTCACCACCTTACTTTCATGAGCATACAAATAAATGAGTCACAGTGGCAGTCGCAGTATGTTGGTTCTCAGTATGTCTTTGCCACTCAGTATGGGGACCATGTGCAATGCATGGCAGTGTGACTGTTTTTCGTTGCATGTGCATGAGTGTGCATGAGTGTGCATGCTTGCATTCTGGCAGGCAGGCAGGTGCGGCGGTAGAGGAGAGCGCAGCTGTCGCCAGGCCGCTTGCCTGTCTGGTCAACATCATGACAACAGCTGCTCGCTGACCCTCTCGTATGGCCGCCACCGTCATCTGCGCGCTGTCAGCCATCTCCAGCCAGCATGGAGATCAGTTGGTAGACCTTTCCAGGGCCCCAACTGCTGCGAGGCTGCCTCGTGAGGCTTAAACACACTGGGAATTGAGTTGTTAATATCCCAAAGTGTTCCAGCACTTGAGAGTATTTCATACCGGTAATCCGTTATTTCCAGTGCGTCGGCCATGGCTGTTGAACAGAGGATTACTGCACCTACAGGAATTATTTCATCACTGTAAGCCGCTGTTGCCTTTGTCAAGCAATAACTTTCCAAAGTTAAATGAAATGCCTATAATACAAAATTCTGCATAGTTGTATTGTTACATAAATGGTCTCAAGTGAAAAATAGGATTGCTTGGCAGCAGGGGCATCTATGCATAAAAGTGAAAAGCATTTCTCTATAGTAAAGGAGTGTTGATTAAATTTGAATGGCTCTTACTTGATACTTAACTGCAACTGTTACTTGTGAATTTTAATATTATTATGCTTCTTGCCAAGTTGCTAAGTTTCTCACTCTCTGAGTCAGTCACGTCTTAGTCAGCAGCTAAAATCTTTGTCACATTTTGCATCACAGGGTGTTATCATAAAATGAATGTGTTGACAAATGTGTCAATAAAATCTGGTAACAACCTACATGGCCCTCTCCGCCTCTTTTAGGTAGGACTTTGTGTTTTTTCAAATTACAAAGTTCTTACTTTTAATTTGGTTCTTTGAAGTATAAAGATGCTTATTAAGCAAACAAATAAATGACATCTTCTAATCGCACATCCCATCTGCTTTTTCAAGAGAAATAATAAAAGCCAAACAATTACAAAAAAAACTGAGGTCTTTGTTTTCTGAAGCAGAAATTGAGAAAAAACATTTTTTACATGTATTCTTTTGGATGTTTTAAAATATTACAAATGCCAGGCACCATTATAACCCCAGTATTTTTTAATGGACCCATTTTACTACGAGGGAGGGCCATTCACAGTGAGCCTGTGCTGCTTTTAGTAGTTTCATTAATCTGAGCATATTGCCACTTAATTCAGTTAAATCCCTTTTAAAACAAAACAACAGACCACAAAAGACCATCAAAACAAGCCAATGGTTGAAGCCAGATTTTGGATCTCGTCATCCTTATGTCTGGCTCCAGCATCCAGACTGCGAGTCCAGAGAAGTCCTGTGGGATAAGCTGGTTCGCTTTAGGTGATGTTTGACAGCAACACTGGGAGTTTGGATTAGTGGGAGTTTAGGGACCGGCAACTGAGGTCAGCGTACGGTAACCATCTGCTGGGGGAGATCCTCCAATTCTCTGTAGGACAACAGTCCTAATGTGCCTGGAGACTTCTCTCTCTCTCCATGACAACTCCACAAGAAGCAGCCAGACGACTAATGGTATTATTCTGTTACACGTGTGTGCTCATTAGAGCTACTCACCGTGGCCTCTGGGACACGAAGCTATTGTAGTACATGACAAGGGTAGATTCCTAAGCAACACTTTGACTGTGGGTTTCTGGTTGCACTAGGAGACATGAAAGACATGCTGGTTAGATAATAGATAGTGAAGATGTCCTTATTTTAAAATTGCAATGGTGGAACAACCATCTTTGTTAAATGTGACTTTAAAAAGTGAAGATAGAAATGTAGAATTCATCTTTTAGATGTTAGAGGTTTCTCCTAACCTCAAATGTTCCTGCAGCATCCCTTTGTCAAGAGTTAAACCTAAAGAAGAACTCAAATGTTCACAAATTGCTTTCAGATGTTAGTAAATAGAGTATGGAAAGAGTTATCTTAATTAAAAACCATAGGCAGTTTACTATTCTGAAATATCAGAATTTGTAGTAATTGTGCACATTTAATCCATTTGTAAAGGTGACCAGAAATCACATTTTGTACAGCGAGTCTGTTTGACACAAAAGGCTGCAGCACAGATGACAAAACGCTTTGAAACTGTTTGGATTGAAGTGCAATCATTGTGTTTCTGTCATTACATCTCTGAAATTCGCTCTTTGTCTAGTTTTGCCTTGGTTTTGAACAGCAATGCGCATAAAACCTGTGTCATTGTGTGAGGTCACGACGAGATAAACAAAACAAGGACCCAATCATAGAAAAACAGCTCCATGGCACCAACTGAGGACTAAAAGTTGACAATACTTTAACTGCACTCTAGATCAGTTTAAGAAATATGTACATATGATTGATTTCCTACAAGACCCATTCATATTCAGCTCTTTGGTATTTGAAATTTGCTTTCACAATGACATTTACAATATATTTACTGAGACATTTGTTAGAGACTGAATTATGTTCAGAGGGCACCGAGCCTTCGCAGCAGCTGGCCCTAGGCTCTGGAACACTTTGCCCCTCCATGTGAGGTCGGCCCAGACCGTAGGGGTTTTTAAATCCACATTAAAAACACACTTCTTCTCTCTGGCTTTCTAATTAGAGCGGAGCATGACTCCTGACTTTTCCGTGTGTTTTATTCTTATTTTGTTTTTTAAGTTATATCTGTTGTAATTTATTGTCATTTATTGTGTTTTATAGTAATGTGTTTTTTATTACATGTACAGCACTTTGGCTCGACCAAAAATCGCTTTTAAAATGTGCTTTATAAATAAAACCTGATTTGATTTGATGTTGTAAAACTAAGAAGCACTATTAAGCTTTTTGGTGTTTTCCCTATAGTGTGCTATATAGGTTTTTGTGTGCATGTAAATGGTCTGCTCAGGCTAAACTCCAACTCTCCCCTTTTAACATAGCTGTGATTTGGGTTTCCCCATCAATTATTTGTACCTTTTCAGAATGACAAAATACCACAACAGTCATGAATTGAGAGATTAAACCAGACAAAAGATATGACAAGTTAAGTAATGGTCAATTAACAGCGACTATTCCTATCGATTTAAATCAACACATTGTTGAATAGAAGTAGAATTTGCCAAGGTTTTTGTGACTCTAGTCATTGTACTACTGCTGATGAGATTCCCCCACAATGCTGGAACTATTGATTGCTACTGGCTCTTCTTGAATACCTCGATAATTGGGAAACATGAATAGGTTCTTCATTTGCTGCAGAAGAATTTTTATTGTGTTGATTGTTCGAAAGAAGTAATTGATTTTGAGCGTCTTGTTTGCTTGGTAAAAAAAATTCTTTATGTTTTTTTGTTGGAATGTCACTGCTTTTTACACAAATAACAAATCAATTGATTGTTTTCCCCATTTCCAATGTGTTTTTTTTTAACATCAATTAAATCTTTTTGATTCACAAGAGCCCCCAGTGCCCATCGCACCCCCCCAGCTGACTGCCGTCGGAGCCACCTACCTTTGGATCCAGCTCAACGCCAACTCCATCAACGGGGACGGTCCCATCACCGACAGGGAGGTGGAGTACCGCACTGTTTCCGGCACCATGTACGACCTGCAGCCCGTAGACAAGACCACACACAAGATCGGCCACCTGGACCCTGACACAGAGTACGAGATCAGTGTTCTGCTGACCAGACCTCTGGAGGGAGGCACCGGAGCGCCCGGACCCCCTCTGAGGGCCAGGACCAGATGTGCAGGTGAGGTCAAACACACCATTACTTACAAAGCACCGCTGGGATTTGAGAGAACTTGTACATTATGTTGTTTCTCAGTGGCACAAGAACAGGCTTAAAGAACTGTACAGACATCATGTTGTAGATGTGTGTTACAGTATACTGTATCACACCCACACTGTTTTCTTAAGCTTTGAGAGAGAATTAAACAGAAACACCAAAGTCATTCATCCACTTATTTTCAAATATGTTGAACCTACATTTCTCAACATTTTAAAATCTATCTGCAATGAAGGTTATGTTTTGTCTGATTGTCAACACGGACAACCGCAAGATTGTCAATGAAACTTGGGTGATATAGGCCAAGGAGGAACTCATTAAATGTTGCAACTAAACACGTTATTTTAAATCTATGGCACAGCCTTGGTAAAGGTCGGCTCACTCAAGAGTGCCGTTTTAGTTATCTTGAGTTCCAAGGTTTGTTCCAGAGTTACAGTACGTACCAGTATTGTAGAGAACATTTTTATTTAGCTAAGGTTGCCATGTCAACACGTGCAGTGTGCCATTGCCTTTGGCATGAAGTTAACATCCAACAGCCTGGACTGTATGTATGAGCTAAATTAACTTTGAAAACCCACCCTAAAGAATACCACAAGTAACAGGTAATAATTGAGGTACTACTGCTAATTCACAATCCATTGGTAGAAACGGTCTATTATAACCAAAGTAAGAGCTGCTTGTGTATTCTCTAATGAAATGTGCTTTTTAATCGACCCTTCAATCCCCGTCTCTGTACGATGCTTTGTCGGCCTGTCAGTGGGTTCGAGGTTGCTGAAAATTGTCATGGAGGTCAAGTTTTTGTAAGGTTGTTTGTGTGCCAATGCACTAACATGGGGATTCATGTGTGTTCACAGCTGTTGCAAATTCCACTTGTTTCTTTCTCATTACAAATACATTTCTTCAAAGTTTTATTTTAGACAGTCCATTCAGAATTACTTTTGTAACAGACCTTGCAAAACAACACAAGAGTTGGCGAGCAGCTCTCTCTGAACTCTGGCTTGATAATTAATGACCTGTCAATCACACATCAAACACGCTGCCCAGGGAAGAGCAGGATTTGGAGCTTTTGATATCTGTTAGAAGATAATTAGCAAATGTGATAGCCAGAATAAAAAACAAAGTTAACTTTTACTGTCAGCTATTTGAACCGTTCCAACAGAACTCCTCTCTTGTACAAGAGAAAACAAATAAGCGAAAAAGAGAGATTCAATTGAATTTGTAAAATTTCTGAAGAAAAAATTAGCAGTTCAAGCCTTCCATTCATTTAGTGGTTAATTATTATTTTATTAGTATTGCCTTAGGCTTGTTGTATTTGCGTTTGCACAATCCCTAGTTCACTTTTGCAAACAAAACATTCAAAAAGATTCCCACTTTAACAAATCACCCCCTGCTTACAATAAATGGCCATCAGGGCTCCATTGTTGGTAAAACTCCATTGTGTTTCCTCTAAAGTCTCATTGCGTTTAAAGTAAATAACTGCAGCTTACAATTGCCCAACATATATCATTGCCATTTTACTTTGGTAATGTTTTTTTCTATAATAGACAAAGCCCTCTGTGTTTCCATTGTTTCCACCTATAGATCTTCATTAAGATTGTTGGCATACGGACATAAATAGTCTTTTTAAGTATGAATTCTAACTGAGCACCTGTGCATACTGTTTAGGCATAGCAGAATAACTGCAAATACGTACTTATAAACCAGTGGAATAATAACAAGTTTAAGTAAACTCTTTCAACACATCCCTTAGTGTTGGGAACATCTGTGTGTCAACATAATTGATATGATTTATGGCTTTCTCCAGACATACAGTAGATCTTGAAACCGCCCTGCCACATGGTTGACTTTATAAATACTTGTTTATTCATCTTAATTCTCATTCTGAAGTTCCTGCGAGTTTCCTAATTCATCAGCAACACAGATTGATATCATGTGTGCGACAGAGTGGCACCTTTTTACATTTGGATCGTTACGTTGCTGATATACTATGGGCTTTTCAATCTCAAACATGTACATAAACACTTTGAGAGTGCCTGATGATATTGTACAAATTGCCCTTCTCACAACATTAACCAGCTAAATTCCCATGCCGCACTAGGATGCCAACTCGGGGAACAAAACAAACCTAGCCTCAGCATTTTCCCAGGCTAATGCCGTGTGGTGTCCAGAGAAACGCTGATGAAAATGGGATTTTTCTCCCCTCGCAGCCCAGGGTGTAACCCCCTCTCCCCACTGTGAAGGTCATGAGCTCATTCATTTTTAGCAGGGCTGATAGGGATGAATGGCCCTACCTGTGCAGCCTTTCTGAGTCGGGCCCAGCTTCTGCGGGGGTCCTAACCCTCGGCCACCCCGCCGGCCACAGTCGGGGAGATTGATGGCCCCGACTCCTGAAGTGTGTTTGAGGAAGCAGCTCTTGATCTTGTCCGGCACTCTGCTGGTCTTTGCCACTGACAGGCTGGGCCTCGGCAGAGCTCCTAATTGAACGGTTAAGACTCACAGGGCTGTGTGATACATCACTGTTGATACAGGCAGGGCCGAGGTCTCGCTCGCCCTCTCCCTGCACTGCTGTCTGGAGGCACTAATGGAAATCTGTGGCCAGTTTAGAGCAATGTCTCTCATATAATTATTCATAGCCATGCCTTGGTCACTTCGCAAACTGAGCAATGTTTCTGATGACAAAGGATGTTTTAATTCAATGTTCTGTAAAATAGGGAATGTATAATGCATGCCGCCGCCGAATCAATTCAGAAGCAGGAGGAAGAAAGCGTCAGCTTTTGAAAGGTTTTCTTTCCAATGAGGCACTGCTATTACTTTTTCTAGTGAACATCAAAAGAATGTCCTATCAAGGCTCTGTGATTGCTCGAGGGGGTTATTTGTGGGTTTCAAGTGTTTTCAGAATGATTCAAACAACATTTGGCTTCTGTGTATACTCGTGTCTTCCGTCAGTGGATGTTGAATTTCACAGCCTGTTAACATTAGTTATTCTTCCCATTTCCTACTGGCCAAAATTACCCGGCAAACATTTGGAGCTAAAACAGAAAAGCTTTTGGTAACTGTGCTCGTCTTCCATGTGAAATCTGTGTCCGTGTGAAGTTGTTTACCACTTGAGTTCTCCACGCTTGGTAAGTGCTACTTGAAGGAAGACACTGTTTTATCAGGTGGTGCCCTAGGATCACAGCAGGGTGCCCTGCATTTCAGCAACTCTATTGAGAAACCATCTCACACTGAGAAACCATTTCCAGCCCACACTAGGACGGCAGATAAGCAAGCCTTAAACAACTTCTCCTCAGCAGTCTGAGCTGTACTTTAGATCGGTGTGGGAAAGTGTTTTCCAGTATCTTCACATTGCAATCTGCTTTGAGTTCAGAGGGTCGCAGACACATTTTGAATATGGATTGACAAAACCTTTGAGAAAAGCAAATACTTTCAACATTGTGTTACTCCAGTAGAACACTTATTCCCAAATGGGTGTATTCAACCCACTTCTGGTTACCTTGGACACTTAAAAGGAGGCCATTTTATGCTAATTTTCTGGTTCATATTTTTATTTTGTGCCTCTACTAAGAAATGTCTCCATGCTTTAATGTTCAAAAAGCTCTTTATTGTTCTCATACTGCCTGTGCTGCAGCACCTCTTTTCACCCTCTGTCTGAAACCAGAGCCCAGTCTGCTCTGATTGGTTAGCTGGCCGGCTCTGTTGTAATTGGTTAATCGCTTAGAGATGTCCCGCCCCTTATCACGTACAATGTGTTGGAGCGCTAGCCAATATAAGCCTGAGTGTTACATCGTGATGTCACTCTGTACCAGAAGTAAAAAAAGAAGTCCAATCGAGGCGTTGCAGGCGGGGTGTGTTGGATAGAATCTCCCTCTGGATGGAACTTCAGGATGTTGGCTTTTGCAGACTATTTATATGCTTTAAAACCTATATCATCAACTTAAAATGAGTAGGCAGCCATTTGAAGTTGATTAAGCCAGAGCAAGGGGTGCACGTGTTTGCACCCTATGGCCTCTGCTGGCTGCTAGCTCTCAGGCGCTTTAAAAACAGAGCAACATGCTGTCCATGCTGCGTCCAAACACCTGCTCAGACTCCCACCCCTGCCAAGTCCACATCTCCATCTATAAGTTGTCTCCATCTGCGCTCCGGCACCACGTGTGGGAGTAGTCTCATCGGTTTGTTTTTGCTTTGCCGTTCTGTTGCACAGAGTGCTATTAAACACTGGGGAAATGAGCATTAATCAGGAATCAGCCCTCACATTAAACACTCGTTTGTAACAGCGGAGAGTAGGGAGGAGCTGTGCAATTATGTTCTCCCACACCAAGGTTGGTTATTTACATTTAGCCTCCTGGTTAGTTTGTCCAAAGAGCAGGTCTGTTTTCATGCAAATGAGAATGTCTAGCAACGTGAACATGGTTGTTGTGGTAAAATACCTTAATCTTCCAAGTACAATCATTTGTCTCAGTGACATAACAACTTGAAGGACAAGTGTGAATGTTGCCTCAGTGAATGTTAAGACGATTTACCAGCATACCTAAAAGAGATCCTGCTGACTTGTTTTCAGAAAAGCACATTATTTATAAATCTACACGACTTGATGAAAAGTCATTTGTAGTCAGGTATAGGTTTTCAAATGAATACATGCATTCGGAAAGCACTCCTTGCATGTGCAATAGGTGTGTCTGTGGATCCTTAACATATCAAAAACTGGCTGCATCTAAACTAATGTGTTGCTCTCTTTGTACAGTATGTGCATTAAAGACCTTAATGAAAATGTATATACAGTATAACAGCCCAAGGTTACAGAGGGTCACTTTGGAATGAAGTCTTACTGTAATTTTCACCATGGCTAGAATAATATCTAAAACCATTCTTCTGTACCTTGTGTCACTTAGTATAATTCATGTATAGGTTCAACTGCATAAGGTGTGAGCAGTACAGTCTTGGTGCAATTTACTGTGAGGAAGTTA